GTAGACAGTCTGGGACTTGCCTCGGTCTCCTGGCAGTGCTGTATTTTTAATGAGCACCAGTGCAGGAGGCGCCTCGCTCTGACTTCCGTTGTTGCCTGGTGCCTGTTGGCTGATGACTGCGAACTGCTTTCGTCTGCGATTGGAAATTTGCCAGCTAGCAGGAGAGAGCGGTTAATTTGAGAGGTAGCGGAAGACTAGGCGGAAACGTCAAGTCACACACGACCCGTCTTGGATGCTTCGAATCTCCTTGGTATTAATGGCCGCAGGACATGTCAAAAGAACAGGAACTGATGCCGCGCTGCGTCTTTAGCTCGACGTGCGCTGACTGCAATCATAAAACTCTGCAGTGGCCGTAGGTATGGCACATTCCCCATTAAGTTATAGTCCGGCCAGTGCCTCGCCCACTCCACAACTGTCGCCTCCACCCTTACCGCATTAAATTCTCCTCGACTATCTTGCATATCAATCAGGCATAAAATCGTCGCCAGCTGGCGCCAGATTGCACAAAGGACCAAGCCAAAATAATCGTCGGGATTTCATCTTAGGTTTACCTTTCGCATTTACCCATCCAGCGGCAACGCGATACTTTAAATTAATAATTTTGATTGCCTCTTGGATTTGCAACGAAGTTTCTTCGCGTCTGTTGTTTAAGTTTTTCTCAAAATATTATCATCCTTAGAGCTGAAATTTGCCTTTTGGCGGCACTTTGATAATCATGAAGAACGGAGCAGAGGTTTTACTTTGTGACGTGGGCTGCAAAGTTTCGAGTGAAAAAATTGCTCATAAGCTAATGAAAACGTCAAAAGCTGGTAATTAAGTTGAAAATGCAGCGAGTCTACGTTGAATTAAAAAAGTTCCACGAATCATTTTTTTACCCTTGCAGAGAGTATTATGATTTCAGTCAGAAATTGCAACGCAGTGAAGGAGACGTTTCCGACCCCATAAAGTATATATATTCTTGATCAGGATCAATAGGGGAGTCGATATAGCCATGTCCGCCTGCCCATCTGTTTCGATACCATTTGCGGGCTCAATTTAAAAGCTATAAAAAGGGTGAAATCTGTTATAATTTGATGTTTTTCCGGATATTTTGGGCAGTGTAAAAGATATTGACATGAATCTTTCCAAATCGTATTTTTTTAAGCACATCTTAATCAGGGAAAAGCGCGTTCCGATCGGACCTCTATATCCTATAGTTCCCATAAAAACAATAGGGTGTGAAATTGAAAAAATTTTATTTTTTGAACTATGAAATATTTTGTTGTTTATTCATTCATGTTGCTATTGTAGTCAAATTTTAATTCGTGAAATAACCAAAGGGTATTAAAGCTTCGGCTTGCCGAATTTAGCTTCCGTCCTCGTTATAAAGATAAAAGACTGAGCTTTCCAATGGTTCGTAACATTTCAAGCCTCATAAACTAATGACCGAATGGAAGGGTCAAAGCCAAAAGTGTTTTAATCTACCGGCCTCCAGCTCACATTTCTTATATTTATTTGGTTTCCATTTTCCTAAATTTTTTCTTAAATTTATTAAAAATTTAAGTACATATCAATATGTCCAAGCAATAATATTTCCTACTGCTGTCCTTTGATATACTCTCTTACTCTTACTCTTACCCCTATATAATACACCCTTTATTGACTTGGATGATTGGTTTTTAAAGTTCGCAAGAAATTACCACTAAATAGTGAATCATCAGTACGAAAAATGGGAGGGAGTTGACTAGAATAAACTAATTATATTATACACCAGAACATTTGTCTACCCAATCAATCTAAATGTTCAACGATAATAAATACTTAAGTTGTTTGGTTGATAAACTCTTCAGCTCAAAGTATTCACAATATGGCCCACAAATCACCACAAAACATGTTGACAGCACACTGCAGCAGACTGTGCCTACAGGTATGCATGAACTCCTGAGAAACTCAAGAACTGGAAGCGAAAGGAGAATGATGTGAGGAGGAGCAACTAGCTCGCTGCTTATGCATTTCCCTAATGAAATGCAAAGAAAACCAAACAAGCGGCTTAACAATAATTCTGCCCTGTCCCGAGAGCTCGAGCTATCCTGCCTGTGATAGGCAATGCAAATTTCAGGAGAGCCCTTGTTGAATATACTTGTTGTTTCCGTTGTGGCTGAGTGGTAATTAAATATTTGTTCTCTCCTGTAGCTATTTGCTTTGATTAATAGCTAACAAAAAAGAAAAGGGCGGAAAAGCTGAGATGCCGTTTTGTGGTTGTGGGGGGCTGACTGTTTTTAATATTTAGCAATTTCCCAATTGTTCTCGGTTTTATTTGTTTTGGGCCGGGGATTTCGATAGGTTTCGGACTCTAAATCAGTTACTTCGTCAACACCCAATTTAATTTCGATAATGTATTTCGGAATTGGAAACTGATTTAGTGAATTAGGGTCCGATTAGGAGAGCTTACGGCTAAGAATATCGTTTCTTAGACTGTGCTCAGGAGTATTCCCTGCAGCTGGACACGTTCCGTGGCCGTAAGTCACTGTACCGCTAGGGCCGCAAAGCGGTGGTATCCTTATTTCGCCACTGTGGAGCTGTTCACCGCATATTCACTTTGCATATTGACACGTCTCCTAGTGAGCATGAGTAATTTATTATTTTCCATGCCGTGCTTCAAGGCGTCAGACTGGCAAACCGAGCCAGAAGGCGCTGTGCTGGGAGCCCGGCATGCAAAAAGGTCAGCGAGACACATTACCACGTCATTATGAGACCGCAGGGACCAACTTGACCTCCGATGAGCCCCGCAACTGCAGAGCCGGGCAAAGAGACTGAGGCCAGACAACTCCTCTTTAAAATCCGAATGCGTAAAACCAAAGACCGAACAAAATGGCACCACAACAGCGGAAATACGAAATTCGGATGTCAGTTGAAGATTTTCAGCTGCACCGAAGCATCATTAAGTCAATTTGTGAGAGCCAAAGTGCAACTTAATGTCCAGCTGGGGAGAACGGTAGTCTCAACCGAAGGCCTTGCATAGGTCCCCAACTTGGACACACCAATTATCCAAAAACACCAACACACAAACGAAAGCCCGCAATAAGAATTCGGGTCTGAGGATGTGGCCGCTGCTGTTGCTGACCGAAAAGGAGATTGCGCTTTTGCGGTTGTGTTAAGTTGATTTCCGGCACGTCTGTCCCAGTCCCTGGTCGCATAGCCTCCGCCTCCCATGTCCACATAACTCTGCGTCCAAGATGTCCTACGCCAATTATGCGTGCAGCTCCACTGCAGCCCCTTTGTCTCTGCTGACGTTATATTCATAAACAGGCACTGCCCCTGCTGTCAATGCCGTAGTCATCCTACTCATCATCCTCATCACCCCCATTGTCATGACGATGATCATCTTTTCAGCCTCCTGGCCGTAGGGGCTGGACACGCCCCCTGCGTGACTGGCCCAAGACCACCCAAACCCCCTTCTCCTGAGGTGTGATGTAAATTATACGCTTTTGCGTTTAGCCTCCAACCTCGAAGTCTGGTCCACCCTCTATGGATCTCCCCCTCCTCTTTGGCAGTTTGATGTTTTGCGGTTGTGTTGACGTTGTCCTAGGTTCAGAAATGAGCATCCCAGACAAGTGGCCTCCCCGGTGCTTGGCTTTAATATTTAAAGTGCGCTTTTAGCCAGGAGTTTGTCCATTATGCCTCTGACATGTTATTGTACTACGCTCTGCGGTTCCCAGCCAATTAATGAGATTTTCGCCATGAGAGCATCGAACGAAGGGCGTTGTTTGGTAAGACAAGTGGCTTCTCCTGGTGGACAAAGGTGAAAGGCCCTCTAAAGAATGGTTTATCCAACGGTTAAGTGATTGGAAGAGCAGAAGTTTTCCTCTTGGCGCTGTAATGGGAAAGCATGGCTACGTTCGCCCGTTCTCCCTGATTAGCTTGTGTTAAGCAACTGAATGAACCGCATTTGAGATATGATATTGTGAATCCTTCTAAAGGTAAGATTTTGGAGGCTGTTTTCACAATTTAAGATTTTGAATCGCATAGCTGCGAACAACGTGAGTTGAACCCCAACTAATTGCTTAGCTAAAAAATCTTTCCCCTCGTTTTTCTTACAAGCCTTGGCTTTAATTTTCATTAGCCGCATGTCCTGTATTATCATAGAGCTGACAACCCGTTCTTCCCCCTACTGGGAAAGCCACTGTGTCATTTGTTATGTTATTGGTTTCGACATTTTGCAAATTGCTTATTTAGCAGTGCGTAAAATCCACATAGTCCTCCACCAGCTCATCTTGCGTCCGACCTGCGGGTCTCTTTTTGCGGAGACCACACACACGTCAAGGAGCAGGATGCTCTGTTATTCCGTGCTCCTTCGCTTCCGCCTCCCTACTCCGCCTGTCCAGAAGATTTTTTCCCATCCTACATTGTTGTAGACTCAAAGCTAACAACGTGTCAAGCGGTTAGGTCTGAACTCCTCACTACTCCATTAGACTTCCAACCGCATTCTTTCCTGCCCTTGCTGGGTGGGAAGTGCGGGGTGAAATGGGACCTGATGCCAAAACAGGTGCGGTTCAATATCCCCCATCCCGCTATTGGGACAAGTGTTTGAAAACTGTCAATTCAGTGCAATTTTGTCCTTTGCACGAACCTCGGAATCTTCCTTCTTCTCGGGCTCATCCTTTTTTAACCGTCGTATGTCCCCAGAATAATGTTTGCTTTTCATTCTGTGTCATTTGCTTCCAGCCCTTGTTTTTATGCGGCGCCTAATTGCCTGCTACACTTTGCAGCACTTTTGGACAGAGGGAATGGAGCTATTCGTGTGTGGCCATAAACTTTTTACGGCTAATATTTTCTGAGGCTTTTTAATTAGGCGAAATGGTCGTAAAAATTGATTTATTGCCTATGATGGGAATTAGTAATTGGGGGCTTTCCAAAAAGAGTAGGGCTATAAAACGGAATAACTTTTGACCCGTTTTCAACCGATTATGAATTGTTCTTACAATGCAAATCTAATTAATTCTGTTCCTTTCTCTTTGCAGCATACATCCCAATGGCTTCATCCTGTCAAGTAATGAAATAATTTGCATGAATCAAGTCTGTATTATGTGCCATATAAGACAACCCTAAAGCGTATGATAGTTTATCATTAAAATGTATGAAATAGTTTTTAAATCAAAACAGTTCAAAATAACGACAAATAAAATTAAACATTTCTGAACTTTAAGTGTAATATTGTATTAACAAAGATAATCTTTCAGTAGGCCGGCAGTCTGTCTGCTCGCACTGTTTTTAGTGACTGTAAGGTCGGAAAAGTTCCACTGGCCTGGCCACTAAACGGTTCAACTTTATGCAAATTGAGGAGCTCCCTAGAGTCTTCAACCAAAAAGCGATTAAACGTCATTAGCATTATAGTAGCATTCCACTTTCACGACTTTGACTGCCTTCCCTTCGAAAACACCTTTCCGTTCGTCCTGATCCTTGTTCCTGCGTTACCCCCAACCCTTGTCTGTCTGCCAAAGTGTCTGGATGGATGGGAGCCATTCATCTTCATGGTAAAAACAACAGCAGCGTCGGGAAATGATTACAGTTCCGTTTTAATTGTAATTAAAGCGATTATTACGGCGGTGTACTGTCGCTTTTTTGCGTTCCTTTATTCCGGCTTCCGATTTTACTTCTGCCTTCTTAAACTCGGCGCTTAATCTTTGCTTCTTGGGACCAGCAGCTTATTTTCAATATAAAAATCCCGCCAACTTTTTCTATTTTTCAGTACGACCTTTGCCATTGGGCCTAAGGGCTTTTGGAGTTACTAAGGTGAGTTTCGTGTTGCATATATAATACCCTTGCAGAGGGTATTATGATTTCAGTCAGAAGTTTGCAACGCAGTGAAGGAGACGTTTCCGACCCCATAAAGTAAATATGTTCTTGATTATCATCACTATACGAGTCGATATAGCCATGTCCGTTCGTCTGTCTGTCCGTTTCTAGGCAGACTAGTCTCTCATTTTTTTAGCTATCGGGATGAGACTATCCCAAAAGTCTTCTTTCTATTGCAAGTAGTACACACAAAAAAATTTGCTTGGTAAAATTGACCAACAAAGATAGTTACGTAACTATTAAAATAGTTACGTGTATTTTGTTTTTGCTTTGGGTTTGTGTCATCGCTAATTGTGTGTATTTTGTTGTTGTGAAATGACAATTTACTTAGTAGAATTGACAATTTTGCTGGTTGGGGCCTGTTTGACAATTATTACAGTTGATTTTACCAAGTTTTTTTTTTGTGTGTATATATATCAGAAACGGCCGAATCGGACACCTATATCTTATAGCTTCCATATCGGAAAACAAACGTTAAAAAAATTCTAGCGTCGGTGTTATTTGAAATATTGCCTTCTACTCTTGGAAATATTATTTTTTGAATATTTCCGAATTTTGAATTAAATTTTTCAAAAATCTGATCACTACGAGTCAAAATCTCCCAAGTGGGCCACCCCCTATTCAAAGGTCCGATTTTCGTCAAACTTTTTTATTTTTCCGGTTCACAACGACAAAAAAAAACTTTATTTAAACGGTTTTGAGAAATTTTGAGTTTCAACGTAGTTATAGGGGTCAGAAAATAGCATGTTTGGCTCTTTTTCAAAAAAGGTGCTATCACTCTTTTTTGAATATTTTCGTAACGGAAAAAGATATCTTTATGATGTTTTCGGTAATATATCAAGAATTGTGTGAGCTCTTCATAAAAAAAATATTACAATTTTTTAAAAATTATTTTTTAAAAAAAAATAGCAATACTTTTTTTTAGTGCATTTTTTTCAGGGTTCTTCACCAGCTACAGAGTTCAAAACCATTTAAAAATTAAGTTTGATTCATTATGAAAAAGATCCAGAAAAAAAAATTGGGGATCGGACAAAGGTTTTTCGCAATTTGAATTTGTCGGTGGTCACACACCTTTATTTTCTGACCCCTATAACTCCATTGAAACCCAAAATTTCTCAAAACCGTTGAAATTACGTTTTTTTTGTCGTTGTGAATCGGAAAAATAAAAAAGTTTGACGAAAATCAGACCTTTAAATCGGGGGTGGCCCACTTGGGAGATTTTGACTCTATATCACTATATCGGAAAATAAAATTGAAATTAATAGGAAAAAATTATATCTTTGTTGATTTTTATTACAACATCTTCTTCTCTGGGATATCGCTTTTCTTTAGCATTTAAAAATTTCTAGCAGCTAAAATTTCTTTTGTTGTAACATATACTCAAGCAGATCTAAATTTAATGTTTTTTAAGTTAATATAAAAGATCTGCAAGGGTATATAAGCTTCGGTTGGCCGAAGCTAGCTTCCTTTCTTGTTATACCCTTGAAGAGGGTATTATAGTTTCAGTCAGATGTTTGCAACGCAGTGAAGGAGACGTTTCCGACCACATAAAGTATATATATTCTTGATCAGCATCAATGGCCGATTCCATCTAGCCATGTCCTTCTGTCCGTCTGTCCGTTTCTATGCGAACTAGTCCCTCAGTTTTAAAGGTATCGAGATGAAACTTTCCCAAAAATCTTCGTTCTATTGCAGGTAGTATATATGTCGGAACGAGCCGGATCGGACCACTATATCTTATGGCTCCCATAGGAATTATCAAAAAGAAAAATAGAAAAAACATTGTAACTTTGTAGAAAGTAGGCGTTTTGATTTTTGACAATGTAAAAGCAACATTTTAAGTAGGCATATCTGCAAGGATATATAAACTTCGGCTGGCCGAAGTTAACTTCCTTTCTTGTTATACCCTTGTAGAGGGTATTATAATTTCAGTCAGATGTTTGCAACGCAGTGAAGGAGACGTTTCCGACCAGTCTATCGAGTCTATCTAGCCATGTCCGTCTGTCCGTCTGTCCGTTTCTATGCGAACTAGTCTCTCAGTTTTAAAGCTATCGCGATGAAACTTTCCCGAAGGTCTTCTATCTATTGCAGGTAGTACATATGTCGGAGTACATATGCCGGATCGGACCACTATATCTTAAGGCTCCCAATCAAATATAAGAAAATTCATTGTAACTTTGTAGGAAGTAGGCGTTTTGATTCTTGACTACTTAAAAACAAAATTGAAATAAATCGAAACGCTGAATCTGGAATCCCTGGAACTGCACCGAGTGAGTATTCTTTTATCTACAAGGGTATATAAGCTTCGGCTGGCCGAAGGTAGCTTCCTTTCTTGTTTTTACATGATTTTCGTGTGGGACCAGACAGAAAAGGTTGTTTTGTGGATGATGAGCACCTTGCCTCTGTAACTGGTTGAAAAAGTTGGTGTAGTGAGTTGTGTTATGGCTGGAGCTTCTTATCTGAGTACACGCCGCACTGAGAAAGATAATTTACCGACATAGCTGGAATTGGAATTGATTCGGCATCTTAAAGGCCTGTCTTACCTGCAGGAATGAGGAGGTGTTCCGCGAGACTCATAATTTGCAGATGGTAACCCCTTTTTGTACCGAAGTCGGTTTATTTAATTTAACGATTTTGGCTTGCGCTTAAGACTTCAGCTACATTCACTTCTGAAAACCCTCATAAATGAAATGTAGGGGTTGCTGGAGCGCAAACTGAAGCAACTACAACCAAAATACATCGCAGCCAAAGTAGCACTTGGTTGGTGTAATTTTTTTAACGATATTTCCCAACGGAGTTAAGTAGCAAAACTCACTTCGCATAATTACGGGTAGTCCTGGGGTGGGTTAAGGTTTGCTGAAAAAGTGTAATTAGTGGTGTGAAATTAGTTTTATTCTACAGAACGAACGAGCAGCGGGACGAACGGATCAAAGGGAGAAAGCAGCTCGAAAGGGAAATGAAACACATTCTGATAGTTTTTTAATGGGTGCTCGTATCTGTTGATGTATGAATGCAACACGCAGATGCTCCACCACCTGCAAAAAATACTTCATCAGCACCATATACCCTATTCAAATGTTCCGCCTTTAGCGAGGTCGATGCCTTAGAGCAGTGACGGAACAAAAAGGGGCACTTTTGGCCATAGACCTATTTAAGTAAAAACAAATTTAGAAAAAATGTTTCTTTAATTTGATTCTTATTTTGTTAAATGTATTTGGCATGAGTTACCTTATAAAGCTGATCTTACCCCTTTTTTGATTTTCCTTACTCGTATGCATAGCCATTCCCGAGCTCCAATCGCTTTGTGGGTCAACAGCGGCGTCTGCACATGTAGTCGCGTTTGTGTAGATGTGCGAACCTTTTTATGAACTGTTAAAATTCCAATTAGGGTTGATTGTTTTGATTTAACGGAAATGCGAGTAACAATGCGTGCGAAAAAGTTAGTTTTTCCAGCGTTTAAAGCTTTAAGATTTCCTGATATCGGAAAATATAGTCAAAGTTGGCGCAAATAAGGGGATCTTGCAAAGTAACGATAAAAAACGTACAATTTTTTGTTTATATTTATAAAACGGGTCATTTATTTTGTTTATTATTAGTTGTATACCCTTGCAGAGGGTAATATAATTTCAGTCAAAAGTTTGCAACGCAGTGAAGGAGACGTTTTCGACCCCATAAAGTATATTCTTATTCTTGATCAGCATCACTAGTTGAGTCGATCTAGTCATTTCCGTCTGTCCGTCCGTCTGTCTGTCCGTTTCTACGCAAACTAGTCTCTCAGTTTTGAAGCTATCGGCTTGAAACTTTCCCAAAAGTCTTCTTTCTATTGAAGGTAGTATATATGTCGCAACCGAACGGATCGGACAACTATATCTTATAGCTCCCATAGGAGGGATCGAAAAAAAAACGTTAAAAATTCTAGCTTCGGTGTTTTTGGAAATATTACCTTCTACTCCTAAGGATTTTATTTTTTAAATATTTCTGAATTTCGAATCAAATAGGTATTTAAAAAATCGGACAACTATATTATATAGCTGCCATAGGAACGACCGGAAAATTAATGGGAAAGTAATAGGAAATAAATTTTAGCTTTTTTGGTTTTTATTGTATTTTCTTCTACTACAGGATATAACTCTTTTTAAATATTTTCGGATTTCGATTTTAATTTTATCAAAATCGTACTCCTATATCATATAGCTGCCATTGGAATGAACGGAGCACTAATGAGTCAAAATCTCCCAAGTGGGCAACCCCTGATTCAAAGGTCCGGTTTTCGTCAAACTTTTTTATTTTTCCGGTTCACAACGACAAAAAAAATTAAT